AATAACTCGTTCAGAACGTGCTGTGGAAATCTGCAAAGAGAAGCAATCCTACCATATTCTCGTCATTGTGGCTGATGGACAAGTGACCAACGAAAAAATTAACCAAAAAGCGATCGCTGCTGCCTCGCACTATCCACTCAGCATCATAATGTAAGTGTGAAAGGACTGGTACGAGGGTAAGCTTGATGATAATGTTCCAGGGTCGGAGTAGGTGATGGTCCATGGAATATGATGGGACGATTCGATGAGAACATTCCAAAACGGTTATTCGATAACTTCCATTTTGTTGATTTCCACAAGGTAAGCATATTGCTGCTATGACCAAACTTTGCAGCCACTCGCGCGGCAAGCACGCGCGCACCACCTAGCGGCGCGGGTCTACAGAAATTACGCTCTGTCCCATTTGGAGTGCCCGGCTTAGGTCCAGCGTGACAGCCTCGTTTACGTTCTGCTTCGCGTTCGTGAAAAGGTCATGTGGAGCTTTTCACCCAGCGCCTGAGAATCAGCGATTGAGCACGACACATTCGCAAACGCGGCTCGATCTAGGCAAGGCGTCCGCGCACTACCCAAGCCGCTCGAGTCGGGCCCAGTCCAAATGAAATAGAGCTTGGATTGCTTTAGGGACGGTGCTATTATTCTCAACGATTCTGTCACAAATCTTTCAGGTGATGTACAACGCACCGAACGCTGAAGCATCATTTGCACTGAATGCTCTAATGGAGATTCCGGATCAATATAAAGCCATAAAGGAGCTTGGGCTGCTAAAACACAGTCGAAGGGGTTAATTGACAGAGAAACGACGAGCGGACGAGCGAGTATAGTAGCGTCTAACAAAACGCATGCGCCGACAAGTGTGCAGGAGATTCTCGTAAAGTAGCCTAGTATAACCCCGGTGCAATCTTGGCATATCGCCAACTGATCTAAATTCGAAAATATACGAATACTAGCTCCTTTTACGAGGTGTGCCTGTACACTTGTCAAATATGCAACAATTTATTGTACGGCGCGCGCGTCACGACTGTGAACTGGCTTTCCCGCCAAATTTCTCTGCTCACAAATCTTCACAAAATGAAGATGATTATAGCGTGAAATTCGGTAATTGCACACTTAACGACATGTTGCACTTCTAGAAATCACACTAAATAGACTTGTTTTCTTTTTCCACTTTAGCCAAAAAACGTTGGAATTGGGTGCAACATGCCGTCATTGTCGTCTGCGTTTTGATTGCTTTCACTATAGCGCGTTTTGTGATAGTTATAGCTATGTATAAATTGCGATTTACTGCGCCAAAAATCTGCTAAGATAATCGCGCTCCCTTCACAATCTCTGTGGAAATGCGGATGATATGTACTGTTTGTTGTAATTATTGTTATAAATGAAGTGAGCAACA